TGCTTTACTTTGCCCGGCCTACTCTCTGTGCTATTGTTGTGATCTTTGCCCTTTAAGAACTGAAGATACTTAATAGAACTATAGGTTAAAAGCCAAAAACACTCTAAAAATATTGAAAATTTTTTGCTTTTAAGGTTTCAAATGTTAAAAAAGAACTAATTAATACTATTTTGAGGGAAGTTTTAGAGATAGAATTGGAATTCCTTCAAAGTTACCCTGCGGTTATGAAGTCTTTAAACCCATTAAAAATGAACCCTTTGGAGATGGGCATGGTGGCTTATGCCTGTAATCCCAGCACTTTGGGAGACTGAGGCAGGCAGATCACTTAAGGTCAGGAGTTCAAGACCAGTCTGGTCAACATGGTAAAACCTCGTCTCTACTAAAAATACAAAAATTAGCCGGCCATGTTGGGGCACACCTGCAATCCTAGCTACTAGGGAGACTGAAACAGGAGAATCACTTGAACCTGGGAGGCAGAGGTTGCACCACTGCACTCCAGCCTGGGTGACAGTGAGACATCATCTCAAAAATAAATAAATAAATAAATAAATAAAATAAAAAACAATAAGTAAAATAAGATTGAACCCTCTGGATTCTTCGGGTGGTGCACCAGGGACCCTCTCCTGTGGGGGTTCCTCTGTGTTGGAGGTGTGGCTCTGCAGGCTCCATCTCCTGGCCTCACCATCTGCGACTGGGCATGATAGCAGCTTTCTAACTGGTTAGGCTTCCCTTTTGTTATTCTGTCATCTGTGCAGATACTGCACGAATAATATTTTAAATATTTTAAATTAAATAGTATTTTAAATACTGCAAGTATGATCATGTTAGTCCCCTGGGTAAAAGCCCTCCATGGTTCTGGGCAGGAGAAACTCCAGCTCCTAAGCATAGGCACGTCTCCTCCTCATGCCCACCTTCGACTCGCTAACTTCTGATTTTATTCTCCCAGAACGCACTTAAGTGGCTTCATGTCTCAGAGCCTTTCTCAGGCTCCTTGCTCTACTCTGCATGCACTTTTCACCTCTCAGCTTATTCAAGACTCAGCTGAGCTGGCATCTTCTTGGGAACGTCTTCTTGGACTTGATGATTCGCCCTTGTTATTGGCTTGTCCCTTGCTGGTTGGCCTCCTGCTACCCTTTCCCGTTCTTGATGTGTTCTATTCAGTTTAGTGCCTGAAGCACTGAGGCTGCCTGGTCAACACCGAGGCTGGATCTTTCTCGCTTATGCACTCAGTAATCAGCACAGGTCCAGGCGTCGAGTTGGTCTCAAAACTTACTGTCAAAGTCAAATTAAAAGAGAAGGAATAAAGCCTGAGCACTAGCCTTTGAATTATCTGGTAAATTTGTTTTTAGCAAAGGATTGTAGAATCTTAGATAGACTGAGATAAATGTACATACATCAGATCTTTATGGGGTTTTCAAATCTTGCAGAAGCTTCCTCAGGGAACTCTTTTTTATGTCTTATAAATACAATTGCCAAGTCTATTAAAGAGCATTAAAGAAAATGGAGGCTGTGGCAATGGCGTCAGTTTATTTTATATTCTTTTCACAATTTCCTTTTCTAAAAAAATTCAGCATGTCATCAGTAGGAGTTTCATGTTTTTTCCATTGTAACTTTATTGAACCGGATGACATCATAGCTAATACACCTGCCGTGTAGTGACCCAACGTTACTCAGCAAAATTTGATTTTCATAAATGTAGGAAAAGGCTACCCCTTCTGATATGATTCGTTTCTTTACTAAAAAAAAAAAAAATGTAAGCCGTAAAAAGGGAGAATAATGCCTGAAGAGGATGTGGCCAGAAGGATAAAACAGAGCCGCTATTTATTTTTAGTCCATAAACACAATCATTCTTGGGGGATGAACAGGTAATGCTCTTACCTGGAACCTCATAAAACTCTGAATTCAGAATTTGGTCATTTTTTATGGCATTGTGTGGCCATGTGACTTTAGTGTGGTTTAACTTTGGGTTATTCATCTGCAGCAACAGTGAAAGGTCCCCAGAGCCTGTTTCCTGGCTGACAGCCTCTTCTTCGTCACCTCTCCCTGGAGAACCAGGCCGGGGCAAAACACTTCCCTTTTCAGTGTTCCTTTCACTCCATAGAATATAACTATTTTATTGTAGTTTTATTGAGTATCATGACATCACAGTTAATAAACCTGCCACGTAGTAACCAGATATAATTCAGAAAAATATGATCTTGATAAATATATGAATTTACGCTTTAACCTAATAGAATGTAAGATCTACAAGGCTGGGGAATTTTGTCTGTTTTGTCAAAATCAGTGTATCCTAAATACTTAACACAGTACGTGGTATGTGTAGTAGATGACCAAAAAAAAAAAAAAAAATACCAGTTGGAAGGATGAGTAAACTCTCCTGGGTTTTGAAGTTCTTCCTATCAAAACATGGGTCTCTACAGTTTGAATTTCCACGGTGTTTCATTTAAACTGTCTCCAAGTTTAAGTGAAAGGCTTCATTGCTGTTAAGGAAATTTTGAGCATTGGTCATGTGGGGAGTATATTTTTGAAGCATGGATCTCTTTATGGTCCTCTGAAATCACTGTCAAGACCAGCTACAAGCTGTACCATTTATTTCCATATGACAGCACTAGTAGACTGGTATTTCTAAAAACTGTTCTGTTACATGTACATGTAACATGTTCTGTTACATTTACTAGTTGTTTACCAGTATAACTAGTAAACTGCTCTGTAACAGAACAGTTTTTAGAAATACCATGTGCCTTTGTGTGTGTGCGTTCTGAGTATATGTGATAAAGGGGTTTTGGGGAAGGAGTTTTAAAAATCCTCTTTTCCATTTCACATGTGCTTCATTTCATGATGCTCCTCTTTCTCTTTCCATAGCCACGTGGAGCTGAGCCTTTTCTAGGACCGTTTTATCGCTTTGTTTCAGAAGTGGCATTGTAGAACTCACCCACTGGGGCCTTGGGTCCCACTGTTGTTGGGGGTGACAAGGGGTTTCTGTTTTTTTTCTTTTTGGTTTGGGAGGTGAGGTCCACAGTGGGTAGACTCCTGGTCTCCTTCCTGGTATTTCTTAAGACCAAATTTGGACAGCCAAGAGAAAGGAATGAGTTGTGAGGTTATTTAGAAACATTTCGTACATTCTTAAGTCCACAGAATGGATGTTTTTTCGAAGAGGAAGGTGAAGTGAGCTTGTACTGTGGTTCTGAATATCTATAAACCTTTCTGATCCATGTATTAAAATGTTTTAGATTGTTCTGGGAAATAGGGTGAAGTGCAGTTCTCCGAGGAGCAACTTCAGTTTATAAATCTAGACTAAGATAATTCATTGTTTTGTAGTTCATGCTCACAGATACTGAAATTTGGCTTTCCCTGTTCCTGCCTCGCCCGTGGTACATGGGTCAGAAGATTCGAGTTCCAGGCCCTGTCCTGGAGCCTGCTCGGAGGCTGACTGCGGCAGGTCACACTCAGTCCCTCTCATGCCGCTCTTCTGCCCTGTCTGTGGAGTTGATGATAACACTGTCCTCTTGGATTTGTTGTGTGACCTAAATCAGACCAGACATGAGAACACTAAAATCTAAAATCATGCAGGACAATCTTATCCTAAAGGTCACAAATCTCACTTTCTCTTCCCCTTGATGTGACGTGTATCCACTCGAAAAATTAAAGTTACTTCTTGCTCTGGATGTTCCTTTTCTTCGTTATTTGAGCTTGTAGAAAGCTTGGGAGCAGATTTGTAGGGTATGTTGAGCAAGGACTCCATGACCTCCATTGTGTCTTATAGCCTCATTTCTCCGTCTATTTTCTGCCTCTTTCTTTGTTTCTCTTTGTTGTTCTTCCTAATTTACTCTGTCTGACTCTATTGTATGTACCTTGACCTAAGCAGCCTTAAATCCTTTTTGGAACAAGTCATTAGATGAAGAACCAACCAAACAAGTAAATATTGTTGCACCAATTGGCTTTCTTCTCTTTTGAGTTTTAGGGTAAGGAGAATGACAGAACTCTTCCTCGAGAGAGGTGTGGAATCTTCTGTGTCCTCCTCATAGGCAACCCAAGTGTGAAGGATGATCTGTTTTAAAACGTCTGCTTCTAGGAAGGGGAAGGTGTTGAATTTGGTTAGCTAAATAACGTAAAATTCTTAGCTGATACTGTTTAGAACTGGGAGTTGTTAGAGGAGATATGACCTGAGTTAAACAACTTTTATTTGTGTTGAAATTGACCATTTGTTTGTAAGAAATTTTATTTCAAGTTGGTACATATGCTGTCAGGGAGGTTTTAACTAAATAATTTTATTGCTTTAAGACAGGTTCTCATGCAAATGTATTTTTCATCATCCTTTAGTGTGCCCTTGTTGGGGATAAAGTTCTTGATCATATCCAGCAATGAGAAAGAGACACATGGTCCTGTGGGACTGATGTTAATATTTTGAGTATCTTAAGTATTTTATCGCAGTTTTATATAGTGTCGTTTGTGGTAATGAATGTCCATCATCTATTAAAGTGTGATTTCACTGTTGATTAACTTAGTGCTGATCAATCCTCTTCATGGATAATTTTGTTAGTCTACACACCTGTTGTCTAAATTGGAAGCCTACTAGTACAAGTGGATGATCTGCAAATGTGATTAATTTATTTATACATCTATAGAATATTATTGGTCAGAGAATCAAGCCATATTTTTGTCTCTTGATCAGTGCCAAGCTTAAGTCTCTAAGGGAGGAATTTGTTTTCCTTGTCTACTTCTAGACTGAAAACACACAGGAAATTTAAATATATATGTCATTACGAGTTTTTCAGAGTGTTTGAACTTCTACTATGTCTGAATGGCCAATACAAGAATGTCAGCCAAGCCTAAATAGTTTAAATTAACCTCACAGTTGTGATACATTTCTCATTTGGCTTTATGAATTTAGTCTGTAGAGCCTGTGAGAGCATTTTGGTGAAAAAAAATGTTTCTAATGTTTATAATCCTGAACTAATAAATGTGTGATGTAACTCAGTAACATTTATTTTCTTTTTCAGTTCTCTCTGGAGGACCATTGCCTCAAGGGCATGAATTTGAACTGTACGAAGTGAGATTTCACTGGGGAAGAGAAAACCAGCGTGGTTCTGAGCACACAGTTAATTTCAAAGCTTTTCCCATGGAGGTAAGAAGAACGAATCAGCTTGTAAAAATCTTGTTTTCTGAATAAAGTATTCAGTGACTTACTGAAATGGTTTAGTTTAAAAGTAGATGCATAGCCCTTGAATTTTATCAGTTTATGCTAAAATTTACAAAGTGCTTAATGCAATGGAAGCCTAGCGCAGCATGTGAAGCTTCCTGTCTACTCTCATGGCTTGGTGTGTGCGCATGAGCACGTGACCAGAAAGGCAACCGGTATTAAATTTCACCCTAGTGTTACTAATCTTGTAAAAATTCTGCCTCTGCAGATTCAGTAGTTTACTTTTATAGATGTTATGAATAGGTGACGAGCTGAAGACAACCATTGGAGAAACCACAACAGTAATGAAAAGTCTAGGTTAGCTAGTTGAAAATCCTGGGTTGGTTTTATTCACTCCAAACCACTGGGGGAGGGAGGGGGAAAGAGATTTTTCAAGAGTGATTCTTTTGTCCAAAGAATTCCCTCCCTGACTTATGTTCTTATTTAACTCCTGCTCTTTCTTTGATACCTGATTGAAATCTTAGATCTCCTGTGGGACTTTTTCTAGTTGCCTTCCTAGGCAGAATTCATTTCTCTCTCTCTCTGTGCTCCCTATATGCTTGATAGGGTGCTGCCACAGCACTGGCCCCATGGGCTGTACCATTTAGTATCCACAGCGTCTTTCTCACTGCCTGTGAGCTCCTGGGGACTGGAGCTCCCTCTCACCCACTTTTTACTCCCAGCATTTGCCCAGTGCCAGGCACAGCTGAGACAGACAGTTCTCGCTGGTGAAAGTGAGGGGATGTTGAGTTCAGTCCAGGCCTTGATATTTCTAGAAGGAACCTCAGTTTACCCCAGAAAATAGCCCTTTGGTGGCATATAGAAGCATGTTTTGGGGGTTGCTGGACTGCCAGTCTTTTCTCTGACATTCCCAACTGTGCATGGGCTTAATATTAAATATAAAATTGCTCATGACCAGATATGACATTCAGTGCCGCTTCAGTGGCTGGAAATCATGGCTGTATAATTTTATGTCAGTAATACATGTATTTAAGAGGATTCTGTTGAAGCGTTTCTCAGCATTACTTTAATTATAATTAAAAAAATATCTCTGGAAGCTCAGGATATGTCTTTCATTTAAAAAAACCTGAACCTTGGAAGTTAAATGTTCCATGTTTTGATGCTGGAGAGGAAAAAACCCAAATCGGTGTATTGAAGGGTGGAAGAGGTGTGCAGTGATGCGGACAGTAAGGAGAAGCATCTTCTCAGAGGCATTGATGGTGAAGGCCTTCAGCACTCACCTCTCTAGGAGCTGTTTGCTCAGTGCTTATAGAAATCCTCTCCTTGCTACTGCCTATGATGCTTCTGTGTCCCTTCTGGCTCCTGTCCCATCATCAGCCAACCTGACAAGGAAAAATTCACAGTAGAAGGCATCAAAAAGTAAAGAAGTCACGAAATCCAAGACAGTTAATGCCACTGGGTGGTAGGGCACAAAATGAGGGGCAGGACCACCCTAGACTGTCAGGACCTTTGCCCTGCCTCATTCTTTGGGTTTGAAAAGCCACTGAGTGCATTTCGTCTCAGCGCCCAAAGACAGACTCTAGTAACAAAAGTTCTGGGGAGAGGTAGCTGCAAATGGGGAGGCAGAAACTTCTGGATGAGAATTCCGTGGTTTTGCTTGTGTCATGCAGAACTTACAGCCATGGGAAGTGTAATTAGCGAGCTGCACTCTTTATACTCAGATAGCATTTCCAGACCAAACGTCCAGATTGGGCTGGTTTCTTTGTGGGGTTTCAACAGCTCTGGTCCATTAAGCACAGGTAATGGTTTGTTTCGACAAAGATTAAATCCTGGTAGTGAGGCTTTGTTTCTGCAGAAATATTTATATTTAGGAGAATGGAATTGCTGACTATGATTTTTCCAAAATATGTAGTGAATAATATTTATATTCTTTTTTATCCCAGATTATCCTTGATCCAATCCCAGAGAAAATACTTGTATCGGTCATCTGATGTGTGCTTAGTGCTCTATCCCGTTGAATGCGTAAATGCTATGGGTGTGCAGAATTAGAAGGAGATCTCTGCAAGCCAGAGTTTTGTTTATTGATTTATTTTTGTGGAAACTATGAAAACTGAGGTGGGTTTTGAGAAGGAGAGGGCTCTCGTGGTGTGGGAAAAGAGAGGAGAGAGGGTTTCCATGTGGAAGAATATCCTGGGAGTGGGGGTGAGTTGGCTCATACAGAGTTAGGTAGATAACTTACTACAGGTCCCCTGGTCCTGAACTGCCACCAAAGGCCACTTGAAGCACAGGGCATGGCCAGCAGCTCAGTGGAGAGTAAGACCAGATACCTTTTTGGGTACGTGATTTTTTTTCCAGTTTTTTTTGAGATCACTTTCCATATTTTGCTTCCATTTTAAGTCTGACTTTTTTTTTTTTCCCTCAAAATCACATATCTGTGCATCTATTTCTTTTTTGTTGATCTTATTGAAAATTAAATGGCTGGCTTGTTAAACAGACACCATAGGCAAATACTCTGTCACTTCTTACGTGGAACACATAGGAATGGCCTTTTTTTTTTTTTTTTTTCTTGAGATGAAGTCTTGCTTTGTCGCCCACATTGGAGTGCAGTGGCTTGGTCTCAGCTCACTGCAGCCTCCGCCTCCCAGTTTCAAGTGATTCTCCTGCCTCAGCCTTCAGGGTAGCTGGGATTACAGGTGCCCACCACCATGCCCTGCTGATTTTTGTATTTTTAGTAGAGACGGGGTTCTATCATGTTGGCCAGGCTGGTCTTGAACTCCTGACCTCAGGCGATCCACCCGCCTTGGCCTTCCAAAGTGCTGTGAGCCACTGTGCCCAGCAGGAAAGGCTTTTAACAGAAATTCATCTACCTGTCTTCCCTCACCTTTTAGAAATTATAAATATAACAACAGCTCTAAAAAGATTTTTGATACTCTTAGTAGTCAGCACTGACAGGATTTCAAAAATTAACACAATTTGGTACTCTAAACAGTTTAAACTGCAGCTCTTCACTAAGCAAGATGTATAAGGCATGCCATTTGTGTTTTTCCTTCTTGAGACCTGTAGGTTTCAGAAACACACATCCTTCCACAGCCATCTGACGCTGCTTACTTACCATGCTCTCATCTCGTAAACCTGAATTCTATTGTGAATACTCCAGGTTTATGCTTAAATGACAGTGCCTTAACAAGAGAAAAATGTAATCTTGCTGCATTTCTTCTCCTGTTACCTGAAAGGGTTTCACTATGTTTCCCAGGGTAGATTTGAGCTGGTCTCAAGGGATCCTCCTGCCAGCTTCCTGAGTAGCTGGGACTATAGGTGTGCACCACTGTGCCCAGCTCCAGCTAGAATCCTTTTACATAATGTGCGAGTATTTTGCATTGTGATATTCAATCAAGACATTCATGTGAGTGTAAGATTTTTGATTTAAGACAAGTTTGAGATCAACTAAAACTAATTATCGTGTGTTGGTTCTTCTGGTGGCTGTGGAAGGTCCTTATTTTCTTTGGATTTTGTCTTAGCTTGTGAAGTCCAACTTCAGCGCTATATGAATTTTTTTGCCATTTTGCTAACACACTGCTACACTCCATGCATTCAGCATTCCACTGGAACTGTTTATTCCCTTCATGTTAACTTTTGTTACAGATATCAGACTCCTGGGTATTGAGGGTCACAGGTACATGTTCTACTTTCAGGCTGTGTGTTCTATTTGGGTCATTTGTCTGTGGACACTGCCATCTTTGCTGCTTCAAAGTAGCCTAACTCGGTGGTCTGTGTGATTTTTAGTAAATTATGATGAATTTTTACACACGAATAGCTACTCTCATAATTCCAGGGAGGAAAGCTTCTCAGGCAGTTAGATTTTATTCTGGATCAATAAAAAATATTTAAAAAGTGATGGGGAGACCAACAGTGTGTCAAGTTTTAATTTTTCCAATTAAGAACATTACTCTCTGCTGTCCTTATCATTTTATAAAGAGAGAATCTTTAATAGCCAAAGGCATGGACCCATAAATTGAATATATTTAGATTTTTAAAAACATATCATTTCAATTTTTCTTGCATTACTACAGGTGAATGATAGTTTGTCAGAGATAGGCACCGTTCTGGCCCACAGACTAGCAGGAGATTGTGTATGGTGAACCTGACTTTCTTGCCTTTTGAGTCTAAAAGTCTATGGTTTAAGAGTGAATTGCTAAGAAGGAGTTCCAACCATATTGAGGCTGGACACTTATCTTCCTTTATATTGTGTTTAAAGAGCAACTATTGCTCTGTATATTCTGGAAGGACTTAGTGATGATTGTGCCACATACCAGCTGTTGATAGAAAGTTGAGTGCATTAGTTAAATAGAAAAAAAAATTATTGTACAGAGCAGGGTGCTTTAATTGTGAAGAGTCTAGGCCTTGGTTGCAAAATAGACCAACAAAAATATTCTGAAGACTGTATCTCGTAATATAGTGCTAATCCTTAATACTACATTTGGGCCCTGGACCAGGTCTCCAGATAGCCCACATTTCTTCTTCTCTTTCCAGGCAAATGGTGGCATTTGGTAGTTAGTGTTTTCTTAGTAAAAGTGAATGGTCTTTAAGGTTGCTGCTTCCCAAGTCATTTGCATGTTCACCTCACAGAAAGATTTATTTTTATCCACTTATTTTACTATTCTAAGGAGATCCCAGGAAGAGTTCGCCTGGTTAATAGTGAAATCATGACCTTTCAAGTTATTTTACTTTGAGGAACATCTCAACTAGAGTTTCAAGTTTGTTGAACCTCTTCTAAAACAGGGACTTCCATTGATTTTCCAAAGAAATGGAATGGGATGACTTTATTTGTGAGTGAACATTCTGAAGATTGGATACAAGATATAACACTAAAGAAATAGAGATTTAAAAGGAAATTTTGTGGTCATCTATTCCTAACTCTTATGTAACATAGAAGAAATCTGTGCCTTACAGGCTGTGAAGTTTGAGTGGCTTTGTGACAGCAGAGG